ATTTAATGACAGCGAAAAATCTGATTTAATTCAATTATAATTCATGATTGTATGCATTTCAAAACATTATATGTCAATGTTACTGTTTATCTAGTGTCCAGGTTTACCCATACTATTCGGTTATATAAGTTCTTCAACAGTTGTTTGAAGGTTTTAATTTTTTAATATTTATGTAAACATTGTTTGACCAAATGCACATATTGTGCAGTAAAATATAAAAAGTTAAACGTACCAGAAACTTGGATTTTATGTTTCAATAATTTGTTATGATGCTTGCATATGTAACATAGAGTTTTGTTTTATTGTAGTCCTGCTTTCTTTAATAATTAGTTTGGAAATACATTTTTGGATTAAATAGGTATTTGATATTAAAAAAAAAACTTTCTGTAAAATGGTCGTCCGTTCTAATCTGTCCTTTTGTGAATAGTCAAAAAAAATTATAGTTAATGATAACTTGCCATTTCGTCATATATTGAATCATTACAATTCATTTAAATGATTGCTAAAATCTTTAAAGTTTTATTCAGAAAAAAAAACAAACAAAGAATTATTCTTTATTCCTTTTTTTATTGTTGGACCTCTGCAAAGTGTGACTTTAAATTTTTTTTGTCAACACGTCCTGTTTTACAATTCTTTATCAGAAGTAATGTTTGATAACTTCTTATCTAAAAACGGTTTGCAACACCCTAACATCTTCCTCATTGAATCACAACATATAGAGAATCTTGAACGTACGAGTTTGGTTCAGCATATGTTTAATACTTTATCATGTGTGAGCTGCGGCATTTGGGTTAACAAGTGTATGTATATATAACCTAAACATACCGAATACTATCATGATTATGTTTTATCAAATGCTTTTAAATTTGAACACTTTCACTTTAGATGTGAATAATTTTACCGCACTTGTGTCTACGTTTCTAAATTTGCTAGATACTTTAACTATCAGGAGTGGATATCTAATAACGAAGCTAGCATATTGTCTATTTGAGTTCACTGGATCACAATGTTCGTCTAAATGAACGTAGAAGTGAAACTTGTAAACAGATATTGTATGTCTTTTCATAATAAAACCAAAGAATATGATGTTTACATTCATTACACAAAATCACAGCGTGTATATGACGACACCAAAAGCAAATTAACAGCGCTTTTCATGCTGTTTTTTTCTAGATCATAGCCACAAAGAAACCTTCAAACGTCAAGGGAGGCTCAGTCTCCAAATAGTTGTTAGTTCGAGCCCTGCACGCATCAGGTGCGCTTGACTGCAACTTTATTTGACTATGATTGTCAGTGTTCCTACCGAAAGTCGGTGGTTGACTCCGGGCACTCTGGCGTCCTTTGGTTGCCACCGGATTCCTCAACCAATACAAACTGATCGCCACTAACTAGCCCAATAGTGCTGAAAGTGGCGTGGACACACCAATCAACTAGTCAATCAATCAAAATGTAAAAGGTGCATCTCATTGCAAATTTGACAGTCTTATAGCACATGTTTGAGAGACATAATAATAATGTTTAAAATCATATGTATAATATAACCTTTATTATATTGGCATTGTTAAACCGCAATGTGCAATGCACACAACAATCATATGAATCAGGCGTGGTCCACATGTTGATACCTGAATTATAATTTAAGGTTTAATAACAATATTACTCCTTTTTATGTTGTTTATGGAAACCAACTTGCGGTAATGCTTACAAAAAAAAAGGCTTTTAACACATGTTTTAGGGAAACATTTCTCATCCGTTAAATTAAAAAATATATATATTCATGCGTTTAACTATGGGGAATTATAGATATCTACTTACGTTCAGCAATACACGAACACACGCAAAATCGATTCAAACAAAGCCATTTTTTTTTTGATACATTAAAAAAGTTTTATGACACTAATCGTAATCCAGTCGTATGTTCAGTTTAATGGTGCCACAATCGAAAAACTAAAAACCAGCTGGCAAAATATATATGTTCATAGTATCATACACTGCGCCGCCTATAGGTGTGTACCGGTTACTATTCATGCGATCGGGCAATGCACAACAAATGGTCTGCAAAGTGACATGAAATAAGATTAAAAAAAAAAAAGGTGCAAAACAACTTATTTTGCTAATATTGACCTCTTGTTAAGAATCGACCTAAAAGTACTTACATATATAAGGTTGTGTTGATATATGTATTTTTTTAGATATATTCTTTAAAAAAAATGTATATATATATAGAGTTGTAGAGTCGTCACTGGTTCACACGTACTTATAATATGAATATTTCTGTGACTGCATCTAACATTAATTTGTAGGATCATTTACAATAGATAATGCACTTGATCTGTAACAATTACATCTTCATGCCTTATATATCATGTACTATGTTACGACGCTAGATAAAAACTGACGAGGAAAGGTAACACCCGGCCAACGAAAGCTTTATTATTATAGAGCCTAGGTGGTCGAGTGGTCTTGCGCGTCGGGCATAGTGCAAGGCGATTTGGTGCTACGATATCTCAGTAGCATGAGTTCGAATCCCGGGCATGGAAGAACAAAAATATTGCTTCCGCAAACTCACAGATCTTACATTGTTGGGCTGTTGTTTAGACGAATTGTCAATACTCGTATATAAAACGAAATTGGGTACAGTACTGATGTGCTGTCATGAATAATTGCAAAGTTATCTTGATAAATGGTACAAGATCATAAACAAATATGTCAAGCTAATTACATTAATATATATTCATTGATTTGTCAAGTCTTGGTTGCTAATAAAAAGAATAAATTTCTACATGTATTATTTTGAATGCATCACAAATACTGTAATAGTTTTACATACAAGAAACACACTTTATCAAATAAAGAGAAAACACTTTATTTGGGGGATTTTGGTATCCTTTTCATTATAGCATTGGTACCACAAAACCAAATGAATCCAAGAAAAAAGAAAATGGGTCTTGAAATAATTGACTCTATACTATTTATATGTCTAATGTTTCAATGTTTATTTGCCGAATTCCTTCATTTATCTTTTTGTTCACAATACAGTTTTCAACATTATATTTCACCATTTTTTTTTCATTTTTTTTATGGAACGCCACCGCTGCCTAATGATAACGATAATCATATCTTAATGGTTGAGATATAATTTGAAGAAAAAATGGTACAAAATGTATACTATAACGACATCGTCAATTTGCTATATCACTAAGATAAATTTATATACTTTAAAGACGTTTCGATTTAGCATGGAATTAACTTGTCATACTATTTTGTCAATATACTTTGTCATATGAAGATATTCTTTAATACTTCGAAGACATCTTAAGATAACATGGGGTTACCTTTTCATACTGATTTGTCATTTTACTATACTATTCTGTCATATTACTATCTTACGACGATAAAGTCGTATACTACAAAGACATCTTGATATTATATGGAGCCATCTTTTCATACTATCTTAAAACCTCACTATGCTATTCTGACAGATTACTATATCATAATGACACATCTTAATACTATAATGACAACTTGATATAACAGTAATGCTGAATAAAGGCAACAGTAGTATACCTGTGTTTAAAAATCATCAATCGATTATGAGAAAACAAATCCGGGTAACACACCAAAACCGAGGGAAACACATCAACTATAAGAGGAAAACAAATAAACACCAGGACATTGAAGTGCAACAAAAACAAACTCCAACACACATAGAAACGAACTGTTTGATAACAACTTCTATATTCCTGACTTGGTACAGGACATTTTAAGAAGTTTAAGAAAAAATGGTAGGTTGAACATTGTTTTATGGCATGCCAAACCTCCCCTTTATGACAATGTTAAAACATTTCGCTAAATCACTACGTGACAGAAACACAGATCGAACACACGCACCACCATTCATAACAGAGAAACGTACAATCAAATAATATAATAGTCGACACAACATGCAAACCACAGAACAACAACGAACATATTCCAACAAAGAAAAACACCATATGATATCAAAAACAGTGAGGCGCTTGCATAACTAACATGCAATCTTGAACGTTATACAATTATTTTCATAAGAATCGTCCAAACAATTTACATTCCAATGATGGTATGGAAAGGCAATTTTATAATTATTTGAACTACAAACGAGAAGACATAACAGATTATCCAACCGAAACAATAACAGAAACATCAAAATATATCCATTAATGTTGGATGTACAAAACACCGAGACACGCGTCACAGCAATGCAAATTCACATTCAGTATAATAGTCATATTCGGGAATTTGACAATGATGGTATTGAAAGGCAATTTTATAATTATTTGGACAACAAACGATACGACATAACACATTATTCAACAGAAACCATTACAAAAACATCAAAAATAAATGCATGAATGTTGGATGTACAAAATACCGACACAAGTCGTACAGCAATGTAAATTAACTCTCGGTTTAACAGTCATATTTGGAAATAGGTCAAGTTCGGTACTTAGCAGACAGAGGACATAGATGTTAAACCACAATCATAGGCGTGGTAAAAATGTCCAAGGAATATCAACAAGGCGCAATTATTCCTTTTTCATTGTTATGTTACTAAACAAATGTGTGATTGTTGCTTCGTTTATTCTATGCATACCAAAGATAAAAATAACTTTGATAACTTTTGAAGACACTTCTTAATCAAATGACAAACGTCGGGTTATTTTGTAGTTCCCATTATGAATTATTAGTGTTTTAGAACAACAGGTAAAACGCAAAGCCACCATCAATTTCATACCATGTTCCAGAAAATTATTTTTTTTTAAATTGTCATTGCATTATTAATCTGTCATCAGATATAAAACTTCTGGCAATTGAACTATTTGACGAATTGCATGAATATGAGGTCCACTATGATAGACTATTGTGATATTTGACAAAGTTATCATGTTTTTTTTTATTTAAACAGTAGTTGAGATAATCGTTTGAAAAATGATTTCAGCTCTACATGCTCTACGTGAAAGACTTCTGTTTGCAAGTACCCATTCAATTATGGAAATTGACGTTGATACACGCAATGTGACGGTACTTGTTGGACATGGAGAAAGTTTTGGCGTGTTTTCTTTCGACTATGATTTCAAAAACGGATACGTTTATTTTCCTAGATATAACGTGCGGGACATTGTACGGTAAGTTTACTTTTATACAATGATAGAATACCTAACAAAGTTATTTTGAATCCAGTTAGATACAATTGAAGGTTTCCAATGACGCCATAAATTAAAGAAATGTCCAAAATTAAAACTGTCGAAAATTTCGCGCTTTGGTCCTGTTTGAACATTTGCAATCATGCCTTAGTGGAAAATTCATAAATATATTCGAAATTCGACGAGTTTGACAGGTTGATGCGAACGTGCATCTTTCACTGCAGATTTATTTCTGTATTAAACATGTTAAACACAATTAAATTGAATTACAAATTATGTGTCCACGCATAACTTACAAGGATCTGACAATGTTCTATTATATTTTCTGTTCTGGTATTAATTACACAAGCCAACGAAAATGCAGCTTTCAATTTTTGTATAACATTACGCCAACACAAAATGATCCCAAAAGGTCTTCAAAACAGTAAGTCGAATGGCGGGTTGTCACACCATTGTGTGCAAATAAGATTGTTTTAGATACGGTAAATACACCTTTTCGATGATTTTAAGTTAAAGTTACCTGAAGACTATTGCATATCTGTGAATAATCAAGTCCCTTAAAAAAAGGCAACACTTATTAATGGAAATTGACTCTATAGATATAAGAAGATGTGGTATGAGTGCCAATGAGACAACTCTCCATCCAAGACAAAATTTATAAAAGTAAAGCATTATAGGTCACAGTACGGTCTTCAACACGGAGCCTTGGCTCACACCGAACAGTAAGCTATAAAGGGCCTCAAACAATTATTAGTGTAAAACCTTTCAAACGGGAAAACCAACGGTCTAATCTATATAAAAAACGAGAAACGGATACACTTATGAACCACATCAACAAACGACAACTACTGAACATCAGATTCCTGACTCAGGACAGGTGCAAACAAATGCAGCGGGTTTAAACGTTTTAATGGTACCAAACCTTCACCCTTTTTCTGAAACAATAGTGTAACATCACAACATAGAAAGACACACTATAAAATATCAACTGAAATAGCTTAACTCAATCAAAGGACATATTCACACCATTGAACATACACTGAACAAATAAATTTGACCTATGACACAATGTAAATACAAAATAAATAAACTAATGGAAGAATAATAAAAGTAACATGTTATATCGGTAAGAAATGTTAAACAATGTATATTATATACAGAGCGAAAAAAATGCAATTCACGTTTAGAATAAAAGAATAGAAAATATATTTGCATATCTGCAGATAAAATTTCGTTTGGCATTATTGTTTTCTGAAATTGATTATCATTTCTCTATGTTCATGATGTTTTCATCACATTGTTTATCCATCTCATTTGAAATTGTTAGTAAGAATATGTTAACCTTTTAGTGATTTATATTTTTGGTTAGTATGTGTAGCATTTTGTATTTTCAATTTAACAAAATAATTTTCAATTTTGTGGGAAACAACTTTAAATAGATTTTTGATTTTTTTACTGTAAGCATGTTATCCAATTTACTATTTCTGAAAAATGAAATGAAAATTTTTCCACTAGAAAGGATTCCTTTTTTGCTTAAAATTAAAGAAAAAAAATAACCAAAATACCCCTTGTGGAGCATATTCTATACCTAAGCTACGTACGAACTCGTCATTGTGTAATACAATGTAGAACTAAAAAATCATGGCTCCATTGCTTTCTTTGTTTTACCTGGTAATTTCAAGCCTTCGTGGCCATTTCATTTTATAATTGTATATAGTGACATTGAATGTATTATATATATATATATAACTCGTCTAAATATCAGCCCAACAATGTTAGATCTGTAAATTTGCTTTCGCAAATTTTTTGTTCTTCCCTCGCCGGGATTCGAACTCATGCTACTGAGATATCGTGACTCCAAGTTGCCTGCACTGTATCCGACTCGCTAGACCACTCGACCACCTAGGCTTAAGCCTTTCAGAGGCTATATATATATATATATATATATATATATATATATATATATATATATATCAATAACTGTTTTTTGCATATGGCAACTATAGCTTTTCGTCTAAATTACTCTCAATTGCATATAAGAGCACACTGGTCCTGTAATTGTAAATCGAATCTTCCTCTAATGAAGGAGCACCTCATATGACGAGTACTCATCCAGAAATTTAAAAATTAATGTATCCCAACGCTTAGAATGTTATATTCACATTTGATGAGCTGTCTTCCAACAGTAGTAAAATTTACAATAACAGGTACTACTGATTTAAGACAGACAGATATGCCCTTTTTTATCAATTTCGTACAATCTTTGTGTTATCTATCAGTGGTACATATTTCAGGTTTCATTCATTACCTACACTATAGAAATGAATCGCTCCTACAGTGAAAATCAAAGTAGTATATCATTACTTGACAGTAAACTTGAATCGCATATCAAAAGCAGCATATTGGAATTTTGCTCAATAAACAAAATCATTAACAAAGCCTCTTTTAAGTTATACCACATTAATAATTATGTTTATTGTGTATTTTTCTGACAATAAAGCTTTAATGCTGCTTTTGAATCTCCTGCACGCTCTATTCGTAAAAGGTTCTTAATATTTACTTGTTTGTGTATTGATTTTCTACCTACGTGGCTGTAGACGCGATATAGACCAGTGTGCATCTCTTACATGTTCGTACCTGTATCATGCATTTTATATATACAATACATTTGATATATTATTTCTTATTTAATTAAAAAATCAAAATTTTTTCGTCTGTTTATTTATCATTCTACATCAGACATACATGACAGATACAGTAAAAAATGGTATTTCAGGATTCGCACTTCATAATCACTGATTGGTCAATGTGTTTAATCTGTTTTGTCTATAGTTTTAGATATAAATTAGGGTACAGATTTCGGTTCTTTCATCATGTTTGACTTCCAAAGATTTAAAATATTTATATTAGTGTTGATTATTATTCAATTTCCAGTTTTTCTTTACAAATTATTAAAAATATTTCCATAAATATCAGTTTTAATTTTCAATAAAATGGTCCGCATAACAATCGTTGATAGGCTCTGTATTTTATTAACTTTTGGAAAATTGTTTTAGGAAAACAAAATTTTTTAAATTTATTTTATGTAGTAAAAATATCCCCCATAAAAAGCAGAATTTCTTTTGTTTTTTTTTTTGTTTTTTTTTTGTATTCTCGCACTAACAAATGTTATCACTAAAATTATTTAAAATAGGAAAAAACCTCATAACTGACTCTTTTTATTTTAGCGTATTTTTTATTTTGAAATTTAAAACTACAACTGGAAAATAATTTTTCGTAAACATATAAAACGTGCGTTTGACTGTGATTTAAGGTATATTTTCCTAGAACACAGTTGTTCATGTTTAAATTCTTATTTCGTTAATTAATATTTTACATGCTTCATTTCGTAGAGGGTTAAATGTGTTTTAATTTTATGTTATAAATCATTATCATTTGTGATATTATGAAATACTACAAATAACAAATAAAAAGGCATCGTTAGTGCATTAAAGTTCATTTTTTTCTAGATTTCCATATCCATCACAGAACATAACATTGCAACATGTTGTGACAACATCACCAAAACCAACAGGTATAGCTGTTGATTCCGCCAATGATCATGTATATTGGGTTTATCATTATAGTAACACACTTTCAAGATGCAAATCAGATGGAACAAACGTAGTTGTTGTATCCACAAGTTTAAGTAACACTTTTATGATACGACTAGATGTTACAAACAGGTATTATACATTAATATATTTGTAGCAATGTCTTTTGTAAATCTCTATCAGAGGTTAAGGGTTAAAGGTATTTAAAGGCGACCAGTCATTTGTTAACATGATGGGAACAACCATTTGATAAATAACTGCTTTTTCTTTTAAATCACTTCGGCCATTTTTTTTTGCTAAAATACATTGGCTAAATTTTTAGCTTTTTATATTTGATGTGTTTCCCTCTGTTTTAGTTTGTTACCCGAATTTGTTTTTTTCTCAATCGATTTATGAATTTCGAACAGCGGTACACTACTGTTGCCTTTATTTATGTAGTGCAATATGATATGTGCTCTGTTTGTTCAGCAATTTACATTTGTACTAGGTTGACTGATTCATTAGAACATTGTTTTGTTTTTCATTTTAATGATACGAATATATAACTATGATACAGCAATATTAATTTTATAAACAGTTATATCTAATTGTGTTTAAAAAATTATTATTGCTGTATAATAGTTACATAATAGGACTTTTCGTCATTTCACAGAATTCCAAAAAACTATACAATAAAGCTTAATTAATAAATTGTAAAGTAACTAATACTAATCAACAATACCATAATTTCACTTCTCAATGACACATTTTTTTATATCTGATTATTAAATACAATTCAAATAACACCCAGACTATTAATTATTTGTCCCCTGGTCAATCTATTTTGCGGAAAGCCGTGTATTGTACACAGTTGATATGAATACTTTATTATCTTATCAATTTTAAGCTTCGAGTGCACCAAATGTTAGATTAATGTACAGCAATCAACAATTGAATTTACATTTATCATGTGTATTTATTGATCATATACATGACATAGCCTTATCAACTATTTTTATTTCTTTTCTTTAATTTCGGTCATGGTAATGACATAACTAGTTTTATATGTCCATTATATGGATGGATTGTACTTAGTTCGCCTTTGTTTAACAGTTATCAAATGATATATTGGCTACATGAAAAGCAAAGCATTTATAAAAATCAGTCTGTCCCAGCAGAACCTGGGAATTTCAAAAGATAAAACGCCCATGAAAAATTCCTTATTATTACAAAGTTTGTTCTTACCATTTAAGGTTTGTTATGGCAATATGGCAAGATACCGTGTATGAACGAAATGAGTTTTTTTTTTTTTGTAAATGCATGCTAATCAGAAAGTGAATTTTAACGACAACACATAATTCTAAGATACACAATCAATTGACTTCAATACTGTTTTTGTTTTTATATGTAATTTTCTCACAGCTCTTTGTCCACAAACAAAAATAGTGATAAACCAAGTGGTGCGAAGAAAGCATAAAACACCGGAATTTTTTTCGTCAACGGTTACAAGTTTATTTTGCAATATATTAATTTGCCCTTGACCGCCAAGCAATAGCTGTAAAGGTTAGATATTGCTCTGTTTTTCTTTTTTTTTTTTTTTTGTTTATTTCGGGGTGTTGTTTGTTCTATTTTAAAGCTTTGTCATCTTTATTTAAGGCACATCTATCATGTTAAGCAAACGCATTTCTAAAGTGATATTTATATATCTTTTAAAGCCTTGTTGTATTTTAGTGCTGAGTATCATTTGATTATATTTAGAAAGGTTGTCAATGTCGTTGCTATTTACGTTGCTCAGTTCCAATTTTTGAATTCTACGTATGCACGGTTTCAAATTGTTAGTGTAGGCTTTGAGAAGCAGTTGATTTCCCAATCACGGGTTGTATCTCTTTATCCGTAGTTTCTTCTTTAAGCTGAACGGAGAATTGTATAAGCTTACCGGAGAATTGTATAAGCTTACCGGAGAATCTTATGTTCTGATTTGAAAGTTTATGAATGCTTATTTTGCTGATGCACGAAATCAACTGACCTAGTAAAGTTAGCTGGACACACTTTGAGATCAAATGCCTGACTTAAATTTGTCATTTAATGGCGACTGAGTTCGCTCTTCTGCTTGTGGCTCTTCTGATTTGTGGAAACTGTTAGTAAGTGATCTTTGTAGAACTAGTCACTGCTGAAGTATCATATTAGGCAGAAACGTAGACAAAAGTGCTAGCAATGCTGTCGACATTGACACTGAAAAAAAAAACGACTGATATTTGTTAACATAGTGATATAGGGTATCACTCTATAGCGCTAAACTATTCATAAGGCTTACACATCTGTTATTAGATGATTTTGACCTCATGTTAAACGCATGAGGACTTTTGCCTGTGATAATTTCTTTGTTCCTGTCAAATACTGATTAATTATTCATGATATATATAATACCGCTTTGAGATGCATTTGTCGCAGTCGTCATATTAGTCTGGCAGGTATTCCCTGACTTTGACCTTATTCTATTCGATCATTGATCAACAACAAGTGTTAAGCTTGGATTCCGTGGTCCAAACAATCGTTTGTAGATGTATATGTTTGTCTGCATATTAACTTGATCATAACAATATTTTTTTATGGTTCATAAAGCAAAGTTTAGCTTTCAATGCATATTGATTTAAAGGTCAGTCAAACAGTTGCGAATTTTACCGTACCCATATATTGCCATTTGCCCCTCCTATCTAGTATTTATTCCATCTGAAATCTTTTTGGAGTTTCACTAAGCAAATCATGGACTTGGGGGGGGGGGGGGGGGGGCATGGTGTTCGAAAAGAATTAGGTTTCAAAGACACATGTTGTTAGCACAGCTAGCAAACAACAACGGAATAATGCCAAACAAAAGAATCAAATCAATGGTTTTAAATGAATATTGATAAAATTATGAACTACATGTATAGAACACAAATACTGATGTATCTCCGTCTAATGTAGTATCTTTTCTGAAAATGTAGTTGTTCGTTAGTTTCCATTCCTCCATTTTCTTTTTTGTTAACCAAGGTTGATTGTTTTTTATTACTATTGAAGAACTTTTAATTAAAATTCGTAATAAAGCGTATGAAACAAGTCGAATTTTTAAAAACTATTTCTGGAATGTCAAACAAAACTCCTTTATGATATATATAGGTTAATGACGAGTCGTAATGACCATTTAAATTTCCACTCTCTATACATTACTTCAACACGAAGATTTGTACTTAAATCAAATAGTCTTTGGAAGTCTGATTACAAACACAGTTGTTATCCATTCGAAGCTGTATAAGAACAGAAAGTTATCATAGATTCTAAAGATCTACTTCAAAATGTTCAATTACAATCATTACAGTTTGGATATAATATCAAAAGTTTAGATTTTTACACACTTCACACAAGCATTAGTTATGACCGTTTACAAATCGACTATATGTTTTGATTTAACAGTTCTCTTTTCTAAAATAAATCAAGGAATTAGTAGACATAAATTTAATGATTTATGTAAAAAAAGAAAAACAAAGGATTCCAAGAACAAATGCACAGAATACAATTTTTTGAAAATTATAGACTGGGTTGCTCGACAGCATATTTTTGGGGATTGATTGAAAGATATATCAATAAACTGTCGTTAATAAAATACGAATAATAGTGCACTCCCACTGGTTGATTGTATATGTCTTAACTGAGGAGAAACATGTTTTCCTGTTCATTTATCTTGAAAAATTAGATCAATGATAATTTCGTCTCACCGATTATTTCCTAGTCCCATATCCTGACAATCTTACCGAACTTGGAATCGTTAGGTTAATGATACATGCATAGAAGAAGATGCTTAACATTTTAACATAATTGGTCCTAATATCTATGAGTTATTGCAATTTTTAATTGATTTTTCAGTTTTATCATTTTTTGTAGAAAAAAAACATAATTTTCGATTTTTGACCTGGCGAATATCTTATTTTTTTCGTTTAATCAAATACAGATACAGTTCAAACACGTATTATAATTGTTTATGTGAACGCCCATTGTGTACCAACAGCATATCATATGTAATATATTTTTTATCTTTATCTTACAGTAATTCCTTAAATCTTGATAAATTAGTATAAAGATACTAAATATTTTGCTTAAATGATTTGAGGACAAAATACACAAACTGACATGAACTGACAAGTACCTCCTTTCTTTTTAGATCTGCATGCTTACATATATACCTGATTAAGTACCAAATAACATTTGGAAAAAATATACTCACACACACACACACACACATACAAATGTTATATCATTTTACGGATCTCCATTATCTTTCAGATGGATGTATATTGGTTACATTGATAAAGGAATATCCAAGTCCAGATTCGATTTAACTGACATTAGTATGATAGCTAACTTTACATCCAACATCCAGGTTTTCTGTATGGATATAGGTATATATCAAGAATAATTGTCTTGTGTGCAAATTAATGTATACTTACAAGTTTAAATTAAATTCTCTCTCTCTCTCTCTCTCTCTCTCTCTCTCTCTCTCTCTCTCTCCATCCATCAAGGTTGTCAAAAAAGTGTCTAATACTGGTATTGACCATGCCGGCGGTTAATACCGGGAAATACTGCCAAATACTGGCAAATACTGGTCGATTGAAATTTTGAGTGGACAATACTGTAAAAACCACTCTCAACTTGGTCAATTACTGTTAGTAATGAAATAATTTAAGTGGTTAGATTTAAAAACGAAGATGTGGTGTGATTGCCAATGAGACTAATCTTCACAAGAGATCAATTGACACAGAAATTAACAACTGTAGGTCACCGTACGTCCTTCAACAATGAGCAAAGCCCATAACGCATAGTCAGCTATAAAAAGTCACAAAATAAAGTCGTTTTAAATGTTCTCATTTCTATTTCTATTGTAAGTTCTTAATAAACAGTGATTTACAATGATTTTTTTTTTACAAAAGATAAAGACTGTTTCGTCCCCACCAAGGGAACTCGTCAGGTGGCTTTTGCACTGACTATAGCATTGTAATCATTACATTTTGCACTGGTTTTATTTTTGTCTTCTAATATTGTATAAAAGTTCCTAATAGGGTCTTTAGGATTCATTTTGGTACTTAAGATCAATGTGGTTGTACTGTGTGTATGTAACAATTGATTATGTAAAGGTAAAATATATACCACATTATAGATTTTTTGGTTTAAAGTATAAATTACAGAAGCCATAAGAGGTCCTTCATACCTTCCATTACCAGCAGAAAGATGATTTTTGTCGCACAGTTGAATAAACAGGAAATATTTTATTGTTTGAGGGTATCTTCAAATATCACTTTTATTACTTTCAACCCATGTTTTGACATCATTTATTGGGGGGGGGGGCTGTTATTTTAGTAATTAAATTTTCACACCTAGCAATGTCAGGTTATAGGTTATAAGACACCTGTAACTTCGTTTACTTGTAAAAATTTTGCGTTTTCAATAAAAAAAAAATAATTGGACTTATAAATGTTGAAATAATTAATATGTCAATTCTTTATATATCTTAAATATGGAATATCATAATTTATTAGGACTAAATTAGAAGGTATAAGTGTTAAAACTAAATAAAACATATCAGATTCATTCATTTATATCACCTAAAACATGCGGAAAGATAAAAATATATCTTACTTTTTTCTAGTTTTTATTTCAAAAAATAATAAAAAACACCATGAAAATTTAAATTGGCCAGTATTTGCCAGTATTGATCACTTGAGGAGTTCTGTCCGGGAGGGTAAATACCGGAAAATACCACCAGTAAATACCAGGGGCGGTAAATATCATCCAACCTTGCCATCCATCCATTCATTATGACTCTATATATCTGCCTTTTTTTATGTATATAAAACATATATAAAAACCTATTAATGTTGAGACCACATGCCTTTCTGTTTGTCATTGTTATTTGCTACCGATCTATTCGGTATTTATCGCCTCGCTTTTATGAATGTAATAATATAAACAGATAACATACAAATAAATACATTTTGATGTTGATTAATCAACGCAAAGGATTACCAAAAACAAAAACAAAAACGAAAAAAATTCTATAGTCTGCCGAACAATGTATCCTAGTGTATGCAAATATTACGTAGTATATTCACATATATGATTACAAAAATCAATATTTAAGGAAACAAAATCACACACAAAGGTTTGAAAAACTATGGACTGCTTTATTTGTCATTGCATGGTGTTAAACGTCCTTTATAACGTGAGTAGTATTTTTGATATTATCAAATAGTATGTAGTAACAATCATCAAATCAATCAAAACATGATTTACAAGAATGAAACTACATAAATTATTTAATTGTGATATGGGACTTAATAAGTAGTATGTACCGATGAAACGGATGATTATTTTGTTTGATTGATCATGACAGAACATTGACTTTATCTTTTGAATGGAAGGCACTGCACATTGTGGTGTAATCTCACTTTCCAGGCTTTTCGTATTGCATGCTTATTAAATTATATATCACATGTTCATGAGTAAAGTAGACAGAATTGATAGTTTTGAATATAACTTTTCACTCTGAACAAAAAATAAATTGTGTGCATATTTTTAAACCATGAGTTACCTTTTGCATGCATCTTAGGTTGAGTCGAAATAAATGAAAACAATATTTTGCTTCGTTAACATTTAAACAAATGAGTATGTTTGACATGTTCATGATGTTTTAACAAATATTAAATAAAAAATGAAAAAAAAACAACTTTGTAAATTTTATGCGTACGACGCGCATTCTATGAAGTACATTCATCAGATAGACTCCAAGCCAAATATTTGAAAGACAGGAATGTAAAAGTACCGAGATAAGTTAAAAGCTATATGCCAAAACGGACTTTCAAATGATAGCAAATTCCATCTAAGGTAGACTTTGCTTGAAGGGGTTGAAACTTTTTTTCCTTAATAATTTCTAGCTAAAAAAAAACGGCATATCTAAAGTGTCAAAAACGTCCAGTTATCATTTGTATACAGTAAAGATGGATAAGCCTATTTGCACATTTTAGAACTCACTATTTAGTTGATGATCAAGCAAAGGAACAAATAAGATAGCATTTTGAGGAACTAGATATACAAATACGTAGTCACATTCGTTTGTATTTACAAATACTGTTTAAAGTTTAATTGAAATTTGTCAAATTTTAAACTTGATTTAAATGTTGTTATTGCCCCTTTTTAAATGTACATTTGATTGATTCGTAAATTGATGTTAAGCGGTTTACGCTGAAATAACATTAAGCCGCATTATATCTATAGATCAATGAAATATATGAATACATAAATAAATAAATAAAATGATGAATAAATAATACATAAATAAATAAATAAATAATAAAAAAAAAAAAAAAATAAATAAAAAGATATACAAATAGATAAATATAAATATATGCGTGCATAATGCAACAAGAGTGGATAGTCCATTCCTTATTTAACTGAACGTTGTACAGCTATATATTGTTAACTGATGAATAAATAATTATAAGCGTTTAAGAAACTGTTTCAATATGTTTTAGACCTGACTGAACAAAGACTGTATTGGATGAATTCCGATGGTGACATAAAATCAGTTAATTTGGATGGTTCTGATGTTAAAACAATCATTTCAACACATTTTCATTCTAATGAATACGATGCTATGGGTTTATTTGGTAGTTACATTTTCTATGCTGATAATAACAAACAGTTAATTATGAGGAATAAATCAAAAGAATCAGCACCCACTGTTCTATATACCGACACTAGGGATATTAATAGCATATATGTGTTTAAAACAACAGGTATGTAAATAGCCTTTACTACAACGATTAGCATTATCAGAAGTTGACTCATGCATGCTTTTGGAGTGAACTCTTATTGATGATGTCAACTTGAAAAATAAAATAAATACATTGTATGTAAAAGGTTCCAACAACGCAAACAAAATCCAGAAGTCAAGGAAAGACATACACACAGAAAAGTAAACAAAAATAAACAACAGTCAAAACAACATCGAGCAACATCGAGCAATACGAACCCCTGAAATAAACCAGGAAGAACATATTAAGGATTTGTTTGATAATGTACTAAAATTAACTTTGAAATAAACAAAAGGAGGTTGATACATTATATAAAAAGGGATATCTTACTGAAGTAAAATGTTCGATCTTCAAAGATGTAACACTCGTCTAGTAGTTATATCCATTATAATTACATGTAATAAACGGTTATGCCAAAAATGCACGACAAAACAAAATGTAAAATTTATCAATTGCAAGTTCATTGTGACGTTTCGTATGTGCTTTGATTGCATAAGACTGTGAAATAGTTAACTTAGGGTGAATTTAAACTATCTAACTTATGTATTCATATTTTGAATTTTGTTTTTATGTATGTTGTATAAATAAATTTAGCATTGCTATATTTATTTTTAACAGAATCACTGCAAATTGCTTGTTGCTTTTTTATAGTACTCAATTTTATTAAATATTTGTCAATCACATAACTCTTTTTGCTTTTGTATTATCGACTTTAACTCTTCTAGCTATTAATATAACAGCAGCTTTATACTTTTGTTTAACATAAATCGCCAATGAAAAGTACTGTATTTATTTAAAATCAATAAGTGTATGTATACACTTCAGTAAGTATATTTAAAGTAATATTGTTTAAGAATTTGACTTCCTTATATCAGAAACATGTAATATAGTTACAAAACGTATTGTGTTCGTTTTATGATAACATTTGAGGATCATTAAAACTGTACATTAAGGTTTGTTTTTTAGTGTTTTAAATGAAATACAACGGTATTTTAATTTTGTTCTACATGCGGTAAGTAATAATACATTTCTTTAATTTTAGTCACTACACTATTATCACGTTCATTCAGACCTTTTGTGCCACTACCGGTTTTCTAAAAGAATTATAAGTATGTTTCAAAATTCAAATCACTACACATATTTCCATATTTGCTGAACAGTTATTGAATAATTGTTTAAGGAGTATTTTCTTTCAAAGTTAGAAGTTTCGAGAGTCACAGCCAAAACAAATGAAACATTTAATTAGGTTAGATCAATAATGGTTTTCATTTCATTTTAACGCATCTCACCAAAGTATGAATGGATCGACTTTAATACAGGAACGACTCAAGAAGAAGATGCATAGATTTTGAAGTAAACACCAGATCTAAAAATGGGCAAATTGCGACCTAAAATTGATCAAGAAATTTGAAGTAATATTGAATTACTTTAACCGCATCCTACCTGCGATTGCAAACTATACTGTACTAAAAGTATATATGTACTTTTATCCATGCAGCAAGAAGAAAAATTATTCAGAAAGAAATAACTTATGAAGTAATACACGCATATATAAACTTGAAGAAATAAACTTATGTGAAAGATATCACATAGTCATCATCTTGATTGAAATCAAGTCACCCGGAAATAGTTATAATGACATATTAAACGCTGCCTGCACCGTAGACTTTTTGTCAAAATGCAGCAATCAACATTAGCTGATAACAATTCATTTACTTGTAATGATACAAAAATACGTTATTTAAAAAAGCATCGATATTAGTACGTTAATTATATATCAAAACAAGCATGTCAAAGACCTACAATATTAAGATAAGAAGTTGTGATATAATTACCATTGAGAAAACTCTCCACCAGAGACCAAATGCAAGGTCCTTTAGAATTTCCAATCTTTATTGCTATATATAAAGGTAATTAGTTCATGCACTATACCGTTATTCAACCAGTCCGTTTGGTATCCATTTTATAATTAGCAATCCAAAATTTCTCATTTAAACAAAACTACATTTTCTTTTTTATGCTTCTGCATTGACGTTCTGTGCAGGTGCTTTCAGAATAATATACTAAAATCGTGTAACTGTATCCATTGTTATTCATTATCTAGACTTTGCATCATCGTTTCCGACATGGTTGTTAGGACTCTTGGATTCAAAATACACGGGGTGAGTACGTATACTAGTAGTTTGTTTTCAATAACGATCGAATTGATTAGCCTGTCATTTTGCTTTATAATATAGCATGAGCATACATATAACTGTCTTTATCTTATTGAAATTTATAGTATGTTAGTTTATATAACGCGTATACGTCAACTATTTAAAATTAGAATTAGATGCATTGCGCCTATGCATGAATGCTATTATAAAATGCATCGAAATGGGCATATTGGTTATAAAATGACAGTACGCAGACTTTTATTTTACAATTAGTTTTACATTATAACACTCTTATTGCCATTCAAAATGATACGGTAGTTTTATTTTTTTAAGATAAAGTTATTTCTTTTGATCTTTAATGGACAACATTCTAACATGAATTATTGGTTGGTTTTGGTTGTCTTTAACCTTTTTAATTCAATAAGTTTGAGCATCGATGAACAGACATATATTGTCAAAATGCGCATCTGGTGATGACAAATTTGTATCGTGTATGTTATTAGAGTTGTCTTGTTTTGAATACAGTATACAATGAATTTCAGTTGATTTGGAAAACACTATTTTTCAAAAACATAATTGATTAATCTATTTTCGCTGGGGATAAGTTCAATATGATTTATTTTTTTACATTAACTGTTAACTATTATTTTCTAGATGGATTTGATTTTTGTTTACTAATAAAGAAAGTTTACTACTAAACACTCTGTAAATAAAAAGTTCATCTTCAGTGGGTCATGTCTCATGATGAAATTCTGTACATGTGATAAAATAAATTTAATAACAATACAAAAAATAATCAACATTAAAATCGGCAGGTTTGAGATCGAAGAAAATATAACAACGCTGTATGTACATGTGTCTGTCCTTAGCCTGACACGTCTTTAGGGTACAATTTTTATTTGGATATGGTAAATGTCCGATCTTTGACTTATTTAAAGCTTGAAAATTCTGAAAACACATTAAAACGTCTATAGATTTATGAATGATTTAACATCTAGATGGATGCGATTCCTTAGGTTGTTGTCTCATTTGGAATTAGCCCAAATTATTATATTATAATTGATAGATACAAATAACAAAATGGGGTATGGTTGCCAATGGGACATCCACCATATACCAAATAACATAAAAGTAAACAACAATAGGTCACCGTATGGTCTTTAACAATTAACTAAACCCATACCGCATAGTCAGCTAACGGATGGTTTTGTTTACATGGTTAACGCATTAAATCAGTGGGCATTAAGTTATACCAAATAAAATTGCAAACATCTTGTTATCAGTAACAATACGAGTATAATACTTTTGGAAGTACAATATAACAATATAGAGACCTGGAATAAATGCCAATGTCAGAACTACGCATCGACAAAAGAACAAAGATATGAACAATAACAGAATATTGTGGGCCTTCAATGTTCAATATTCCTTGTTCAGTGTGAAACAAATTACATTATCTTGCAAGAAAACGATAAACAACAGTCAAAGACTCGTTGTTCAAATTTGAATAACTGATAGTGGTTTTGTTTTTACACAGGAATTTCCTTCGACATGATTACAGAACTTACAAAGAAAAGAAAAATATGATTTTCAAACAGATTGTCAATCTGATTATGATCAAGTAAGTTAAAGATTTTACAACTACTAAAACAATATCAAATATTCTATTAAAGTGGTATTTTATAATTAATGTATGATTATTCGGATCGTATCACAATCTGCTATGGGAAAGAAACCTACACAAAATAAAGAAATAATGAAACGTTAAAAGAATTATCAAGTTTCATTCTTTTCGCCATGTTTCTGGTAAAGGTACACCATGTGTACTACACTGTGACTAGATTCTGAATGACGTGATGCATACTGACGTTAGGTATATTTTTTTCGCGATTCGACGCAATAAAGTAGTTCGTTTGTTATTTTCACTTTTTTCAAGTAATTTTTCTTTATTAATTACATGTTAAACCAATAAAGGACTTTTTGTTTTGATACACGGCCTTTTTCATGATATAATATCTGGTTCGTCCTTTGGGCTCACCTAATAATTTACCGTGATGAAGTCAAGCAATAAGTGTTTTGTTCTATATGTATCAGGTACGTACAATCCAAGCATTAGCAAGCCCTGGATATGAAAATATGTAGCAACATTAGTAGCTGTATGCATTCATAAACGTACATAAGTGAGGTTGTCACGTCATAAATTCTCAAATTGATGCCATATTTGTTAATTTTTAAATTGCAAGGTTGAGATCATACGGTTGGCAGAACTTGCTACTATCATTATGTTTTCTTAACATGTTCAAATTATACGTTCTGTGTGTACTGCACTTTTTCAATTACATAACAATGTAACAGATATACATTATCTGTATATTAGAGGTGTTAATAAAATTATCACAAGTAAAATGATCCTGTCATAATTGATTTTTTAAATGCACGTACTCACTCTCGGAATCAAACTTATCACCGAATGTGTATCTACCATAAGCAACATGATGTGTCAACTGAAATCTCTTTGTTTTGGTAGGGTTTGCGATGTTCAGTCTTTTGTTTTCTATGTCGTATTGTGTGAAATGGTCGTCTTTCGATAATTACCACGGAGTTTTTCTTCCTGAGTTTTGAATGTCTCTTTGATATCTTTCACTCCTTTCTTATACAAAACAAAAGCATAGACAACAATGTTAATTTGTCTTTTAATTTTACTTAAATATAGAATGGTGTATCTTCCGCTTTTTTTCAGCGGTTGACCGACAACAAGATACAGAGGGAGTGTGAGACTATCTGTTTATATCATTATGTTAGAAAACAAGTCCATTACGTCACTTCGATAATCAAAAGTAAGTACAGAATATCATGGAAGAAGGTGTTTGTTTGGTTTTAGATTACATGGAATTCTTTAATCTAAGGAGTTGCGACAAAACTTTTAGAAAAAACCATAAGTTTATTAAAATAAAAAAAAAAAAAACAAATATCAAACTAATTCGTTATGTCTAAAAACCATTATTGCACAATTTTTCTCTAGAAAATACATACTTTAAATCATAAATTATATTGCAGAAGTTATCAATGCATTTTTAGCAAAACATAGTCAAAATTGTGATTGATGTTCAGCAATAATCGTTTTCGAAAACACAATGCATAACATCCAATTTACAAAAGCCTTCAGAAGCAAGTGTCACCAATTTCCATATATTGATAGTGTGCTGGACTATCTTCTATGCATTTTGTTTTATTTCATCTAAGACATGAATGTAACATATTTTTAAATTGTATTGGGGTTTTAAAGCGTCGATCGAATCCCATTTTGAACTAAGCGTGGAAGCGCTTCATAGCAACAATAGTCTTACGTTCAACGCTTTTACAACTGTATAAGAAAACAAAAAGAACCAGTATATTCTTATTATTACATTTGATACCACAGCTATAAAATTACGTGTTAAATCAGGGTGTTTTTTTTTGTGATTTTATGTGCATTGTATTAACATTAATAATATAGCAAGTGCAGTCATAGATAATGCCTTTTAACGTGAAATGATATATAAATTTAGAGTGCATTGGCCAATCAAAATAACAGAATCGTAAGAAATGTGTATGCTATGTAATTATTTTCTTTTGTTCTAAAAGTCGTATTTTAAAATACTATAACGTAACACTTCGAATACCAGATAATTAGTTAGATAAGTATTCAAAAACTAGTCGGTAAATTGTTGTAAAATCAGTAGCTTCTTTTTTATTTAATGACATATTATTTATTTAACCAGAATTTGCATGGACGTACGTCCTTTAGTATAAATAAGCAATCCTGCTCCCTCAATCTCTTTGGGAAATACCATAATATTGTTCAGTTTCATTACTGTCAAACTTAGAATGGATCTTTCTTGTCGCACTAATGAAGGAAAATTCATTCAAATGTTAACGTCAATTATATTATTTTGTCATTATGACAAAGTATACACTGGGGATAATTGTACCCAAGATTCACAATACAAAACGATAAGTTTGTGCATATAAAGAATCAATCGCTTGCACAATACTATAAAGAACAATATATTTTAAGAATTTTGTAAAATTCTGACGAAATTACTAAAATTAAAGTATGAAAAGCAACGCTCTAAAAATTAAAGACAGCTAAAGAGAGGACTGGAGACTCTCCTCTTGAACATAATATACCTGTGTCAATGCTTTTCTTTATAGGTTTATTTATATTTTCAGATGTACAAACTGTCAAATTAGATGGCATAATGCTGATTATCACACTATATAAAATTGAGGAAATTGAAAAATGGTCAGCCTTTTTTATTTGTAAATAAAAAGACAAACGAACAGAGTTTCGCAAGGAAATAAAACATTGCAGTCTGAATCTATTAGCCTAGACTGGGAAGTGAACTACCTTACTAGAGGACAGTTTAAAGTGTACAATTAAACAATGATGCGTCGTTTATAAAAGTAAAGGAAAATAGTTGACGTTTAAGAAAAGATGACTAAAATGTTTCAAACTATGTATATTGATGCTTCATTTAATTTGTGGTTAGTCTATATATAATGATTTAATATCCCTGTTACTTATATTGACAGACGCGAAATTTCAATAATGAGTAAGGCACAGATATAAAATAAAAGAAATAGTAATGCAGTCTCAGATGCTTAATGTAAATAAAAAAAGTTTTTTTTGAAGATTTGCGTTAGTTCGTTCAAATTACTCCTAATTTTTTCGACGCAGATATATAGCAATCTGCAGTACCAAAAACATCAGTTCCAACAAATGTTTTGTCTCAATAAGTGCGAATTTCCTATATTATAGAACATGATGCAAAATTATAAAAATCCATCAGTGTTCCACAACAACCTCAAATACATTAACCTTTTTGATTCATATGCAGTATATATGCAGTCTCATTTAATGTCAAACTTAGAATGGATCTTTCTTGTCGCACTAATGTAGGTAAATCTATTCAAATTTTTAAATTTTTGATACATTCAACCGATCGTATCGCTTCGTTGTCAGGTTGTTCTTCAATCAACGGAAATCAAATACAACATTAGCTATAGCCGTCCGCCTTTTTATTTCAATACACACCAGCAGACGACGTATGTCATATCAAAACAGACAAAAACGTATATAAGGACAAGTCAGAGCCACCCACGACCTCGTCCTTAATTTCATAAACTAATATTTTGATAAATACAACAACCTATTGGTATTAGATAAAACTTCCTATTGATATTGCATCAAACTTTATTTTAAATTGAATAAAACTATTTATTGGTATAATAAAACTTGCAAAGCAACTTTGTAATGTATTTTGTTTCTTTATTTGCTGACCAGCTGAAAAGAACCTGATAGCCGATTATTTATGTTTGCATATTTTTATTTGGATTTGTCATATAAAACTATGATATACCCTTGCGTGACGTCTCCCTGATCATATGCAGTTGAGGTAATGAACCTCTGTTATACTTATTTTGTATTAAGCTGATCATTCATTTTGGAAACATTTCAGTTACACTTTTTCATGTTTGTTGTTAATGGTGGTGCAACTTTTTAGTCCACTTAAATTTTGATAGAATTAAAACTGTTGATGATAATTCATAAACCTTTAAAGGGCGATCTTTTCGTTGTTGTTGTCTTAGCGGTGGTATTCAAGTAAAAGCGGTTTCAACTTTACCTATCTTCTCTCACTAAATAATTCGGAATCTGGTGACTATGTTGAACGCATCTATCCCATCGAACTTGAGATTAATGAAACAGTTAAGTCTGCCCTATATCTTGACCTACCTCTATACATTGGCTATGAGGGTCGGTAGAATACAAAACTTTGCGACAACAGAAATGATTTCAGCTTCCCCATTGTGAACGTTCCATTTCTCTGAAGCCTCATTCCAGCAGCGCCTGCATACGTATCATATAGCTTCCAGTTGATACGATAATCAAAAAAAGGCTTGTATTTTCTATCATGATTTCTTTGATAATGGGTTACTGCTTACAAGGAAGCTATTGAACCAAGAGATCCAATTAATGAAGTTGAAATCATCCCTTCGTAAATGTTACGGCCGGCATCTCAAGTTGGTCGACCGTTATGGAATATCTAATTCACAGATGATACTATGCCGTCCCCTTTTCTACGAATGTGACCCACCGATTAAACTTATCACCAGGTTTGTACTGACATGAGCAACACGACGGCTGCCACATGTGGAGCAGGATCTGCTTACCCTTCCGGAGCACCTGATATCATTCCATCTTGGTTGGATTCGTGTTTCTCAGTTTTTTTGTTTTCTATATTGGTTTTTTGTGTACTGTTGTTTGTCTGCTTGTTAGTTTGTTAGTTTGTTTGTTTGTCTTTTGATTTTTTCCTTTTTAGTCATGGCGTTGGCAGTGTATCTTTGATTTATGAGTTTGAATGTCCATTTGGTATCTTTCGCCTCTCTTTTTCCTGTAGTAGTGAGGAGAAAATTCACACTTTTATTACTTATGACATTATCTATCTATCTACCTTTAAAACTACAAAATTCTTTCAAAGATTACTTTCGAACAGTCAAATAGGTGTCCTAATTTTATTATAATTAGAAACAATGAATAAATAGAAATACTGAAAAGAAGAAGGTCCACAAAACCTGACAAAATTAAACGGTCGACTTTATTTTTGCCTCAAAGCTGCCTTTTGTTCCATCAGTTTCCCTGACAAATTACAATACTGTATTTCCAGCTTTTAAAACAGAATGAATGACATAATATACTTGAAAATACTTAAGGATCTTTAATATACATATAAATGAAAAATAGAAAATATCTTAAGTAATGTTATGTACTACATAAACATTGAAGGAAACAGCTTGATTGTGTTAAAATTTCTTAAATATAAATAAGAAGATGTGGTATGAGACAACTCTCCATCTAGGTCACAATGTTTAAAATGTTAACAATTATAGGTCAAAGTACAGCCCTTAACACGGAGCCTTGGCTCACACCAAACAGCAAGCTATAAAGGGGCCCAAAATGACTAGTGCAAAACAATTCAAACAGGAAAGCCAACTGTCTCATCTATTTGAAAAACGAGAAACGAGAAACACTTATGAACCACACCAACAAACGACAACCACTGTACAACAGGCTCCTGACTTAGGACAGGTGCTTAAAAATGCAGAGGGTTTAAACTTCTTTAACAGGCGCCAACCTTTATCCTAAACTGAGTCAGTAGTGTAACATAATGTGTAACATTTAAGAATAGTATCAATAAGAAATTGGGTTTTATCTGGGAATAGATAAACCTTTGGTCCATAATGTAATGTGATGATCAAAGAATTAAGAAAGGTTACAAAGTCATCTTGACAATGAACTAATGCATTCATATTTTAGTTCAGTAAATGAGATACATATATAAGTATCCAATTTTGACAATACAAATATATAGTGTTTATATATTTAAATCGGTATAAAGCATTCTTAATTGCCTTCTTACAGTCCGTGTAACGTAAAAGTTAACAATACGAACGATGCCCGAATCATGTACGGACGATGCCCGAACGATGTACGTACGCTTCCCGAACGGTGTACGAATGCAAACGAAACGGTGACCGAACGTTGTACGGACGCTGAACGAATGATGTACGAACGAAACCATGTACCATAAACCATACCATAAACGATAAAATAAGCACCCTTTTATCGTACATCGTATGTTTTTGCGTACATCGTATGTTTTTGCGTACATCGTATGTTTTTCCGTACATCGTTTCATAAAGCGTATACCGTATCGTTTAGCGTACATCGTTTCGTTAAGCGTATATCGTATCGTATAGCGTACATCGTTTCTTGGCGTGCATAGTTTCGTTTAGCGTATATGTGTGTTTGTTTTTTTAAATATAAATATGAATGGTGTTCTGTTAAATCTTTTTATATAGGTGATAATAGGCGTAAAAATGTTTCAGTTTTTAATTAATAATTTAATAAATTATAATTTGATCTGACTCGATGTTGATCCAAACCTATTTACATAAAAAGTTTGAAAAAAAAAACACTGAATTAAATTTAAACGAATTAAAAGATACGATTATGAATTTTGTTAGCCGTAGAAATACGTACTTGGTGAATGTGTGAGTAAACTGCAGTCTGCAGGGTATTCAGTCAACATTTTTTGAAAATAGCCTAAGGTATTAACATTTTTATTAACCTAAATGAACAATTTTTTTTAGATGGAATTCGGAATTAATCTTATGTTCTTACAAAAGTATATTCGGGGTCTTAAGGTTGACCTTTTGTCCAAAGGTTTGTTAAATATTTGTATGTATTCTCTTTTATCGCATGTATTTTAAAATCGACTGAATAGCAGGGTCGAGTTCAATATCGTAGCGGCTACGTAGTGGCGGCTATGTAGCTGCTATCAATATCTATGTAGCAGCTAGGCTAAAAAGCCTCTAAATACACGTTCAATAGTCACAAATCTACGTAGCACTACGTAGCCGCTCCGATATTGAACGCTACCCAGTTTTATCTATATATCGTAATTAAACCATTTTTTTTAGATTATAGATTATAGATTGTTTTTATTCATTTATCAAATCAGTTGAAAGAATCAAATATTCAAATAAGAACAATTACTCGCTATGTGCCTCATCAACCCTAAACAAAAAATCCCAACCAATGTACACACGATTATGTATTATTTTGACTATAAATGCACTTGACTTTAAACAATCATCAACAATTGTCCGGCAAAAAAACTAGACCCTCTATTCGCTAATTTTCTTATACCATTTTCCTCTCTCCTTTATTTTTCCCGTTATACTCTAATTTTATTTTTTTTTTCTTTATTCCCCTACAACTATCTATTATACCTAATTTATTCGGAGCAACCCCACCCTAAATATACATATGATACATGTACACACGGTCTATAGTTCATCGCTTGTGCCGTGATACACATGTTTGCATAACAAAGGATGTCCTTGTTCATATTTATAACATTTTAAATGTCCTTCTAATAATACATCTCACAGTTGCCACTGGATATCAAACAGATAACTATAAATTCATCCGTCATATTCTCAGTTTTGTTATAATGTGTAAATCAAACAACATGATAAAACAATAATTATTGCAGATTGTCACTGCAGAAATAATGGGGAAAATTGTAAACAAAACCACCCAATCACATCCCTACGCCACAAAGTCTAGCCTTTTCACATGTAAATAAATTATTTTCATAAATCTATTTCAAAATAATTTTAAACAATATTAAATCAAACGGCCATTTTTCTTATTTGCCAAAAAATAAAAAATAACACAAAACAGTTGTTTTCATTTCTTATTTTAAACAGATCGATTGTTTTCAATGGTCGGTGCCTGACAACATCTATAAAATCTATCACCATGTTGGCCAGTAAGAAAGCTACATAGAACAGGAAAACAACAATGTCCTAGAAATATTTCCAGGCCATATTTTCCAACTTCTGTTGTAATGTGGATTAATGCAAAAAGGTTAACTCCTGAATACTGATTTGTATCCATCAAGCATTTGGGGTTAATAACAAATCTATGGTAGTCACTTTTTCTTTACTCGCAAAGTATTCGACTAAATCATGTTTTATTTATGAAAATTGATCATTGCTGACGAATGTTAAATATTGATCCCTAGATTTTCAATTGTTTAGTTGTTAGGTTACTCTCTGATCTCGCAAACCTGACATTTTATGGTCATTATTTTTTGCATCCAATTGCACCAATTTATTAAAAGGATATTAATGCCACACCGTACGAGAGTCGTGTCTTTACATAAACTACTAGTATGTTTTTTTCTATAACGAAATACGAAACCACTTTTCGCAATTCGCTTTGGGGTAATTGTGCTTCTCTTTTGACAAAATATGGCCTTGTCTCAAAAACAAAAAGTATAATATAATATAGAGTAATATATAAAACTGGACCTGAGTGAAGAGTTGGGAAGTAGGAATTCCGAATTTTAATTGAATGTTCTAAATCGTTGTGTATTTCTGATATATGATTGTACAGACTCAAACATTTCTTTGTTTTGATGAAATGAAAGGTCAACGTCACCAGCAAATAGAAGCAAAATGGATATAGTAGATCTTTCTAATTTTGAAAACAATATTTCTCTTGCTTTGTTGATAAAAGGGCACTTAAAAAATAGTGAATACTATCCTCAATAGGATGGCCACAGCTGCATGCGGAATTTGGTTTAATATTAATAAGGTTTAAATCTGCTTTTGAAGAACTGCACAATATTTCTCAACTGTGTATCAATGATATTAAGATTTATATCACCACAACTA